GGGCGCGAGTTAATTGCGTCACGCTTTTGGATATCACTTTGTAATTTTGGCATAGTTAAGTCGAGTCAGAAAGGTAGGCGCGGTCGGAAAGATGGGAGGAAACTCTATTGGAAAGGCCGGGTGTAGCCATGCGAAAAGGCAGGAAAACGCAGCAAGAAAGGAACCGGACGGACTTATTGACAGACGGACGGACACGCTACAAGTTTAGGGGGCGGGAAATGATTACATTACCTTGTGCCACAAGGTACGGTACATGTACAGTGGGCTGTAATCGTGTTTGTCCGCGTTTGTGGACCGGCGCACCTAAATAGTCACGTTGTGTTTTCCACAGATGGGGTTCCTAGCATATGTACTAGCTTAGAGCCACTCGCGGCGCGAGTCGCGCTGGTATGCACCTGTCCAAACTACAGCAACGCTACCTTTGGTTGATAACGAAGGACTTCACTCTTCAAATTCCCCACTGCTCAGTTGCAGTGTCTCGACGACGCTCTTTACTGGAGTCGCGAAAATGCTTCAGTCCTGGTTGACCACCGTTTGTTCGGTGGCAGTGCTGACGTCCGCTGTTTCTGCAGCCGACGCCTTCGATGCCCAAGCTCAAGCTATCGTAGACGGCTTCTCCCCGGAGCAATTGCTGGGACAGATGACCCAGCTGACCCTCGCTACAGTCATGAACGGTACCACACGAACTTTGAATGAGACCGCGGTGCGTTTGTTTGCTAAACAGCACGTTGGTTCGTATCTCAACACGTACTGGGACGGGCCCGTGAACGGCAGCTACGGCTACAACGCCTCCGAGTTCCGCTCGCTGATCCAGCGTATCCAGACCATCTCCATGGAGGAGAATGGAGGCCATCCCATCATTTACGGTATTGACTCCGTACACGGCGCCAACTACGTGGACGGGCCTGTGCTGATGCCCCAGCAGATCAACAGCGGTGCTAGTTTCAACCCCGACCTGGTCTACGAGGTGGCTCGCATCACTGCTCGTGACACTGAGGCTGCTGGGATCAGCTGGGTGTTTGGCCCCATCCTGGATATCTCGCAAAACACGCTGTGGTCGCGCACGTACGAGACGTTTGGCGAAGACCCGTACTTGGTTTCCGTCATGGGCGCTGCTCTCGTCCGTGGTCTTCAGAGCTACAACCAGACGGCTGCGTGCATCAAGCACTTCGTCGGGTACTCCAAGACGCCCACGGGGCACGACCGAGACAATGTGAACATGCCGGACTTTGACCTGCTGAACTACTTCCTACCACCGTTCAAGGCTGCTTTTGAGGCCGGCGCGCTGACAACGATGGAGAACTACATTTCCCTCAACGGCGACCCCGTCGTCGCCAGTTCGAGGATCCTGAACGACCTCCTTCGATCGGATCTGGGGTTTAACGGCGTTCTACTCTCGGACTGGAACGAGATCTACAATCTACACGACTTCCACCGCGTGTCGGCTACTCGTGAAGAAGCTGTCGGGACGTCTTTGAAACAAACATCTATCGACATGAGCATGGTGGCTACAGACACAGATTTCATCAAGTACGGTCTGAACATGCTGAAAGAGAACCCTGACCAGGAGACTCGCCTGCGTGAGTCGGCCAAGCGAATCATTAAGCTGAAGCTGCAGCTCGGTCTGTACGACAACCCGGTGCCTGGCAAAGAGTATGTGTCGATGGTGGCAAATGAGAAGGACAAGGAGACTGCGTTGGAGATGGCGCGTGAGTCCATCGTACTCCTGAAAAATGAAGATGATGTGTTGCCACTGCCGAAAAATGCGTCCGTATTCCTCACTGGCCACTCAGCTGATAATGTTGGACTGCAGTGCGGTGGCTGGACGTTCATCTGGCAAGGTTACTCCGGTAACGACATGTTCAACAACGGTATTACCGTCCGCAAGGGCTTGGAGAACCTGGTGGGTAACGACTCTTTCACGTATTTCAACGGGCTTCAGGTGAACGGGTCGATTTCTAATGCCGACCTTGCCAAGGCCGTGGAGCTCGCCAGCCAACATGAGTACACCGTCGCAGTTATTGGGGAGCCCAACTACACGGAAAAGGCTGGTGACATTTTCGATCCGACTCTGCCTGAGGGTCAACAAAAGTACATTGAGGCACTCGCTGCAACGGGGACAAAGGTCGTCGTTGTCCTGTTTGAGGGTCGTCCGCGTCTGCTTGGCTCAATTCCGGATAACGCTGCGGCCATCATCGATGGCATGCTGCCCTGTGAGCTTGGGGGTCAAGCCATGGCTGAAATTCTCTACGGAGACGTGAACCCCAGTGGCAAACTGCCGATCACTTACCCGAAGGACCCGGCCAACACCGCCATCCCCTACAACCACCGCGTCACAACGCGTTGTATGTGGGACAACTGCTGGATGCAGTGGGACTTTGGTGCTGGCCTCAGCTACACGAAGTTTAATTACTCCTCCGTCACGCTCGACAAAACCACCGTCGCCAATGCTGAGGATACGCTCACCGCCACGGTTACTGTCACGAATACTGGTGCTCGAACCGGTAAGGAGACGGTGATGTTGTTCCTGATCCAGCCGTTCCGCAAGATCTCGGTGCCGGAGATGAAGATGCTCAAGAAGTTTAAGAAGATCGAGCTGCAGGCTGGAGAGTCCATGGACGTGTCGTTCTCACTGTCGGAGGAGGACTGGGGGGTGTACAAGCCGGAGATTGGCACTGGTCTGAAGCGCATCGTGAGGACAGCAAGTATGTCGT